AGTGTAAATGAGTGACAATTGGCCGATCAAGGAACTTGACGAGAAAGGACGGCCCGTACATATTCCTCCCAACCACCACCGTACTAAACTACCTCGTGTAGCTTGGAAATATCTTGTTGAACTAGTCAGTGAAATGGAGTATGTATGCAGGATCAAGCAATCCTACCTGATGGCTCCTACTACCTTTTTGAGCATTTAGCATGCGATGCAGACCTGTAATTCCAATGATGGTTAGATATGAGTCTCATTATGTACCATTCTCAACCAAAACTTACAGCATGGTAGCCGTGCCCGCACTGAATGTTCGGGTTGTTGCCGCAGCCTTGGACCTCACGGGGCATGAGATCGATGCCAAGATCGCGCATAGACATCTTCACATGAGGAAGGTTGTTCTCGGCGGTCGGGTTGGCAAAAGCCAAGGCGGCGAAGAAGGTGGAGATGATGTATGTGGCGAGCATATTGATTGTTGAGAGCTGCTTTTTTTCTGGTGTGAATGGTTATGAGAATGATATGAGCTTGCTGTTGGATAGGGAGGCATTGAGTGCGATTTGAATATCCTTTTATATTCGAGTCTTGGCCCCCCTTCTCCTCAACTCCGCTACATGCACTTTTGGAGACTACGAGGCTCTGAATCAGATCAATGGTCACTGCACACTCTTGATTCGGCGTAAGAGTTTCAGGCTACCATCATCATTTAGGTGTTCTTTCATACATTCACGAAGTCGCGAGGTTGCCCATCAGGCGAGCAGCATCCATTCCCTCCCGATTCGCTGTCAGAACCCTAATTAGAGCCTCTGTGAGATCTTGATGACGATTTCCCGAAGCAGGTGTGAGGAGCATGGCTGAACACGAAACCTTCCTCGCCGACCTTAATTTTCGAAGTGTATGGTGAGGCTGCGCTGTGTCATCTCATATATGCAAGCTTGCCGAAAACGGATTGTTGTTCAAGGATGACAACTCTCACACAGATGTGGAGTAGCGCCACTAGTAGCACCAATGACGATCCGATATATTATACCTTGGACGCCTAACCCTAGTATCCATCCACTGAGCTTGAATGACAGCTTCTTCCCCTTTAGGAACGTCAGCAAGGGTCGCATATTATAGTAGCCATGCAGCTTGTTGTTTTAATCTGGATCACATACGTTGGGGGCGGTTTCGTAATACATGAGCAAAGAGAGCATGCAAGGCTATGCGATGTGAGGGGGGTTGATGCAGCCATCTCCGATTAATTTGTATGTAGCGCTGACAGTCACATACCAGAGCTGCGCGCAGCAATTAATTGGACCTACAGCGTTGCAGATGATCCACACGTAGTCGACAGAACCAGGCATCAGTAAGCATCTAGCTACATGGGCTTCCCGGAGTCGCAGAAAGCTTGTCTTCGCAACACGTCAGGTTTCTCTAGTTATCGCGCCGCCTGGCCCAGATCTTCGCGCGCGAGCACTTGATATGCTGGAGGACGCTTTCGATGACTGCGTACGGGAATTGGAAGCTAGCATGCGGATGCTGCACTACCTGGAAGATATACAGTTGGCGAATGGGAATGGTGCTCACACCCACGGTGAATGCTTTGTAATAGTCATGCAAGGCCCCGAAGGTGAGTTAGAGGTGCCGGGAAACGATGGCGATTGGATAAACCCATACCTGTGACGCTAGTGGTAACCATTGCAGATTGGTATCCATGCTGCACCGTATTGTGAAGGAACGCCGAAGGCGAGAGGTACTGGGCCCCTTATTTCTGCGGGCTCGATCGATACAAGCTGTTATAGCCTATCCCAACATGCGTGAGCGGAGAAAATCTCATCGATATATCCGGTAATCTCCGGATCTATGTATACTCTCCCAATGTTTGGATGAGCATCGCTGGTAGTGTCACAGGAGAGTATCACTAATAGCGAACGAATAAATAGAAGGAAGCCAACACGCTGAGCAAATAGACGTTTCAGGCTAACCATGGTACGGAACTGTCCCATGTGAAGTTCGTAAGGAACTATGTAGGAAACACGTGTGACCAGGGTTCTTGTCCAATATTCAGAATAGTGGATTGCAAAGTCTCGTTCAAGTAATTGTAGTCAACTTCGAAGTTGAATATCCCGATAGATTGTATCATTTTCACGAGTCGCATTGGCAGTCGCTGCCGATTTGAACCGCCGACCTTCCCGTGTTGGGTGAACGAGTCAAGCAAGGCAGACACCGCTTGCACTGCGTCACTATGGGAAGGCAATCTGCTCGAGTCTGCTACTGCTTACTCCTCGTAGTCAGGAACATGTGGCTTACCACAGCAAGCTATTGCACAAGTAGTGAATTAGTGACGTGTACATGGCACACCGTGCATAATTTCGACCATTCCAAGTGCAGTGCAGGATTCCGATCCCCTCAGAGATGCAGCTGTGCAGTCGCACTAGATAATTAGTACAGCGCATACTGAAACCTCGAAAGCCGCCTCGATTTCTGCCACTAGCGCCGGACCTTTACGATACAGTTGCAAAACTGAGGTAATATGTGCGACTAGAGTCGGGCAAGTCTTCGCATTATGTCTTCTAAATGCACCCCTTTGGACTCCCAGGGTCGACTGACGACGTCTATGAGTGCGGAGAAAGTCCGAAAGAAGGTGCTGGATGATCCTGTAAAGGTCGGTCGTGGTGTCATAGCCGGGGCACCAATCCTTGAACTCACCGTCTCTTTGCGCAATCGAAGGTAGATGGTGAATATTTTCTGAGTATCCGAGACAAGTCTGCGCCTGGGCATGCGCACCATCCGCAGAACGCATGCGGTGTGGACCTCGAGGCGGTACATAGCCCAGCATAGGCTACGCCGCTCTCTTTCCTATCTAGAAAGTCCTTTTGGCTACTATGACTAATCATGAAAGTTAAATCGCGTACTCGCACCGTAATATACAGCGAAATTTGGTGTAGTATAGCATTGTTGCTGGTCTGTGAATAACGTTCAAGTCAAGGTCTTCGCAAGTTGGAAGGTACCACGCTCAACGGCTTCATCAAGATACTCGCTTTGGTTATTCTCGCTTCCAGGGATCGCCGTGTCGTCCGTGAACAGGGCGCGCTTCCGGACGTGTTGAACGTTGTAAGCTCACACGCACATAAGGTTGTGTAAACGGAACCATCGTTCAAAAAGGTGCGATCTCTGTAGCCGACCAAGAGCTCCTTCTCACAGGCTCGTGGAAAGCTGCGCTATGTTGGTCAGAGGTCATGGGGACGTGGTAATTATATACATTTGGTGGATCTATCTAGATACCTATGGTAGACATCGAGTGATGCACTGACGGTGCGTCGATTGTTCGACCGGTGAGAAACCACACTTTACCTTTCATTGCTAGTGTTGAGAACCGAATAAGCTTGCTGACTCGAAGAACGAGCATTGTTCCATTGCTTCTTTGGTCGTCGGCTTCGAGTACATTGATGACCGTATGCGATGCAGCTGGTAGAACGGGTCGTTGTTGCACTTTAGTGCATGTCGACGACGAAAAATCGCAAGCATGTGTAATCCTTCTGTACGTAGGGAGAAGCATGGTAGCAGGGGCAAGGAAGTCCGAACAGGAACCGAACCGCGACAAAACGAGCGGTGCGATTCGCAGAAATCCCAAGGCACTTACTTATTACAGCTAGCTTTTGAAGACAGGGGACACGTGACATATTCATTTCCTGATTGTCCTTCTTGTCGCGCTTATTGCTGAAATGCGATACTTCCTTTCCTTTTGCGCAGTGTGCTTAGGCACATTTCACAGGATTCTAAAATCCACCACCAATAGCCTGTAGCTAGACATTGCGCTTCGAGGGCAATTGTTGACATGGAAGGAGCATTTGGTACTGTGTAAGCAGCGCCTTCCGCGAGCTAGCTATGTATAAGCGTTAGCGAGTAACATTCGAAGAGATGTTACCGAGTACATTCATGTCCACGGCTGCTGGCGCCCATAACCAAACACAGTGATGAAAGTACTGCCGACGAACTCGACGAGTCTCTCTTGAAATGAACATGATGTTGAAGCTTCGGAGAATCCTTAAACTGCCAATTCCATCCTCGCGAATCTCGCAAGCTTCTTCTACATGTATCGACGCGGTGAAGTTAGACATGCCTCTTCAAGTCATGCACTACGCCATGCTCTGCTTCCAGTCTTCCGTTGTTCGCAATCTGACTATCTGGCTCTCAATTGCCTACGGTAGTTTCGCAACCTGCTGTTCTCTGGCTGAAGTCAGAGTTTGACCATAGGGCGCGCAAGTTTCGCCCTGTGAAGTTAACGACCGCAGTAAGCCGCCATTGCCGAGGCCTTATTCGTCAGTTTACGCAGGTTCAACCGAAAGATGAGCCGCCTCGACCACACCATCCAGCCGTTCGGATAGTCGAGCATGATCTAAGGTTGCAATTCGGAGAAAGGTACGTAACGACAACTTTAAAGTGCAACTCTGCGGACAAGAGCGGCCATGACTATGCTTCTTGAGGTTAAGGCAATAATTAAATAAGGATTCCAACGACACACGATATCCACATGGCAGAGATGAGTTTGCTAAGAGTTTTCGTCTACACACGCTAACTGATAGCGTCACCGTTAAGCGGGTCGCGCCAACCGCGTCCAGCTAGCACAAACCTCCATACGGAAAGGCTGCCGCGATATATTCCAGGGGTTTGCATGCTTAGTCGGCACCAAAGCTTCTCGAAGCCTTCTTGTTACAGCATCGCATGCATCGTGACCACGAAGTGAGACCGACTGCAAAGACGCTCAGACTCGGTCTAGGCAATCTCCTCCACATGCAGAGATAGGAAGATGATTTGTGTCAATTCCATTACTCCGGGCAGCTTGCGGGAAAATGTTCCTGCATCATAGTATGTACCCACGGGGCACCTCAAAGGATCTGCCGGAAGGTTGACAGAATCTTACCGTTCGGTTTCCTTCAAAACTCGTTGGGTGGATCTGTTCCCGCTACCGGCCCTCGATCACAGTCGACACACACTCAATTCGATCATTCCCCGAGCCATTCGTCACGATGGCAGAAGAAATCAATACCGGCGCCCAGCAACACAAGGACCGCAAAGGCAACTACGCGAATTCGGATGAAATGGCCGATAACACCATCTTTGGCGAAGTGACCGATTCGCAGCGCATCAAGCAGATCGCAGCTGCTGGAGATGCTCATTTTCACCGCCTTGGATGGAAACGTCTCGCGGTCGTCACTATCGTCGAAGCGATCGCTCTCGGTGCGCTCAGCTTGCCTCAAGCATATGCAACGCTCGGCATGTTTCCCGGAGTCTTCCTCACAATCACTCTCGGCTGCGTTTCAATTTTTACCAGTTACCTCGTCGGCCAGGTCAAGCTGAAGTACCCTGAAGTGGCGTCATACGCGGACGCAGGACGGCTTTTACTCGGTCGTGTTGGCTATGAAATCTTTGGTGCTGCGCTTGTCCTAGAATTGGTCATGGTCGTCGGTTCGCACGCACTGACCGGAAGCATCGCATTGATCGATCTCAACGGTGGACACGTCTGCTCAATCGTCTTCTCCGCGATCTCCGCCATCATACTACTGATCCTCGCCATTCCACCATCTTTCTCGGAAGTGGCAATCCTGGGTTATATCGATTTCGCATCCATTGTCATCGCTATCGGCATCACGATCATAGCAACGGGTATTCAAGCTAGCGATTCTGCTGGCGGCATGTCCTCTGTTGACTGGTCGGCCTGGCCCAAGGAGGATTTGTCATTTTCAGAAGCATTTGTTGCTGTCAGCAATATCATCTTCGCATTCAGCTTCGCGATTGGTCAATTCTCCTTCATGGATGAGATGCACACTCCGGAGGAATACATGAAAAGTATCTGGGCATCTGGTACGATCCAGATCACCATCTACACCTTGACCGGTGCCCTGTGCTACGCCTTCATCGGAAAAGATGTGCAGTCTCCTGCTCTGCTTTCTGCTGGCCCGCTTATCTCCAAAATCGCCTTTGGCTTTGCTTTGCCCGTCATCTTCATCTCGGGATCTATTAATACCACTGTCGCACTTCGGTACATCCACAGTCGCATGTTCAAGAACTCCGTCCTGCGCTATATCAACACTTTCGCTGGATGGACCTCCTGGATCGTTCTTGTTATCATCTTCACCATCATCGCATGGGTTATTGCCGAAGCCATTCCCATTTTTTCTGATCTACTGTCCCTTGCGTCTGCGCTCTTTGTGTCAGGATTCTCGTTCTGGATCCCGGCTGTCATGTGGTTCTGCCTACTGAAGCAGGGCAGCTGGTACGCCAAGGAGAATCTGGCCACGAGTGCAGCATGCCTGTTGGCGTTTGTGATTGGTATTGTCACGCTCGGCGCGGGAAGTTATGCGACCATTGCGGATATCATCAATCTTACGAGCACGGGAACCGCACATAGCCCATTCACTTGCCGCTCAAGCTAGATATTCAAGATTTAATAGAGAAAGTGTACAATATTAACTCCTATTACTGTTCAGGATTTTGAGTTGTCTCGTTAGACGAGTATGAATGTCCACCCATTTTTGATCATAACATCCATCCAGAAGGCTCCCTGGTGAGTACGATCTCTTTCCCAGATATCGTGGATCAGCTCTTCCCCTTGCTCAACACTGCGGTAAGGCAGTATCTCCCTCACTGTAGTCAATCGATGGCTGACCTTGTGTCTAGCTCGCTGTATGATATTTGCAACATCCTCGGCACCCATCTCATTTTCTCCTTCAGCCACTGGCAAGATTGGAGGCAAGTCCAAGAACCCCTCATCTGACAGCAAGCCAGCACCCTCAAGAAAAGGCCGTGGCACGTCCTCAGCTGAGCACAATGAACCTGCAGCTGACCATGAGTCGCACAAGGACTGTAAGAATTGGGAATACGTGTTACGTTCGACAGAGGACGCGATACCGTGATGAAGAGGATGACAAATTTCACCGGCGATGATGACAAGAACAATCTGCTCGATACTTCTCGTTCTCGAATTCGGGCTGTTGCGCTCGAGGATACCGAGGGTGTGAAGAGCAAGTGCACATAGCCATTGTTCTGACGCATCTTGGTTTCTCAGATCTCCTCTCCGATTGCGCAACAGATCAGGGAAACAGCGGTACAGCATTAGAAGGCCTGAGAGTCGATATGCTTCAGCCATGTTCCGTAGATCATTGATAGATGTGTTCGTGTCATTCACCTCAGGCAGATCCGTTGGCTGTGGGATGTGAAGAGAAAGGAGGTCTTCCTCCAGTTGATAGGACGTTTGGAGAATACTCTCGTCTTGCTTTAATCTCTCACTGGATAGAAACGATGGTCTCATGGCGCGAATCCGTTGCGAATAAACAAGACTGGCAACCTTGCCTAGGAGAAGATGGGCTCGAGGCGAGATGCCTGTCAGAGGATGAGGATAAAACAGTCGGTATTCGTCTGTGTATGTATTTGGCCCGTCTTCAATATCTTGGCAAGGGGGAGGATCAGGCAACGGTTCGATCTCGACATTTGTCACGAATGACAGCCCCGCCCACCAGTATATCAGTGTTTCAGCGTAAAATCTCCGGCTGACAAACGCCATGCTGGCGCATGTCTCGGTATATAGAGAAACAGCAGTGCGGTAGTGCGCGATCCCTGTGTTGTTCGAGCCATCCCAGGAGCTGGCTAGGCCGAACATAATGAGAGCAAGCAGCGCCTCCTCTGCCGCCTTCCTGGCTTTTATTCCGATATGCAGCCCGAACTGGTCTCCTCTTTTCGCCAGATCGACCTCATTGCCTATGTGATGCAACGTTTCTTTTTGAACTGTTGAAAGTAGACACCGTGTTTGGTCGAGGATCGTGCTTTTGCTCAGGTACGTTGCGGTCAAATATCTGAGCAACGAGTTGAACAACGGAGAGTGGCGCGCCCTAAAAATGCTGATGCTGCGTATTGGATTATGTAGGGATTCGCAAGCATAAAGACGCTCGCATATCGTTTCTGCGAAGTAGTTGAGTGCGAGTGCAGGACTACACAATAAGAGGTCGCATGTTGGCGATGGGGAAGAGTCGTCGACAACGGACCAATCATCCCAAGCCATGTCCGTGGATGTGTTATTTCTCAGAGCGTTGTCGCTGTCGGATAGCATCGGAGGCCATAATTTCGGTGTAAAAGCACCCGCACCTTTATCGCAGAACCAGTCTTGGTCGTTGAAGGAGAAAAACGGCTCATCGAACTCGTATGTGAGGACATCCGTTCGCAGGCCTCGCTGATTGCCACTAGTCGCAGGGAATTCAACTACAGCAGGGTTTGTCGAAAGATGCGGGGACTGGATTTGGGGCACCCTAGATTCGGTAGTAGAGGCACTATCAGCGTGTATTACATCGGTGGTCACAGCTGGAGCGATGGCACTCTTCTCAGATCGGGATACTGGAGGGTCCTTGCTCAGGTCAAAAACCTGATGCTTGTATGACCATGTAAAGCTTTTCGAATACCCTGGGCATTGTACCTTCCGGCGCGTGCACTGAAGACAGCTTGGATTGGTCTCATCGCATTTTATCTACGTCATGTGAATTCCTACCAGTTGGCGGCGGCAGCGTATCACTTACGCGTCGGGCCTTGCACGCTTTACATCCAGAACGAGATTTGACGCGTCTTTCCTGCGGAGTCCGAGCCTTGATGGTGTCCATGGTGATATGAGCTGAGGAGGCTTGCGCTGCGGAGAGGATTTTGGATTCCTCGAATCTAATCATCATTAGATACGGCTAACGCAAACCTTCATGTTCCGAAGGAGACCGGCGCGCGCCACGCTAATGCCATTCGCGCGTCCCGCGTTTTGCTACATGATAACGACAACAATTCAAAGTGGATGGATTCAGCCATTGCATAGGTGTCCCGAGACTTGGCCCACCATACTAACCCGATTGAGCCCGCGAGTGCGATTGGTCCGCCCCCCTGATTCCCTCCACACCTTTCCCCGCAGCCACCGCACGCGCTCACAACTTCGCTGGCAATCGGCCACCGCACTTCCAAGCAATTCCGTAGTCGATGGAACTGAATGAAGCAGTGGTGCCGCGTTGGACAAAAAATGTGTCGCCGGGCTCGAGGTGCGCTTTTTGCCCGGACTCATCCTCCAGGTCCATCTGTTAGATGCAGAATTCGGAGAAAGCTTGGCACACAACGCGTGTTTTCCCCCCCATCTTCTGCTAAAACACTCCTCTGTTTCACAGCCACGCAATTAAAACGCTTATAAATTCCTAGAAAGATAGCATTTTATATAGTAAATCTAGATCTTTTTTGAATTTTTATGCTATCTCTTAGCGTTGTAAAGATATGGGTTGATGAAATATCGCTTATTATTAAAAAGAAGCTAAAAGCTTAGGCCACCTCATATGCAGAATTCAAAGAAAGCTTAGCATTTTTAAAATATTTACATTCCTATTAATTTCTTAACAGCATAGAATTATTATATTAAAATTTAATAGAATCTAGATTTGCTATATAAAAAGCTACCTTCTTAGGAATTTATAGGCTTTTTGACTATGTGGCTGCCAAAATAGAGAGGTTTGTTGAATGTTGGGGGAAATTTTCGCGATGCGCGCCAAGCTTTCTCCGAATTCTGCATCTAACAGATTGACCTCGCAACGTCAGCCACTAATCCAACCAAACTAAGCATTGACATTGCAGAGAGCTCACCCTCGATAACTATGCCCACCTCGTCGTAAGTGTATTCAGGAGGCGTGGCTGCCGGGCCTCTTTCTATGCGGAACCATGATCCTGATATGGGCTGGGAAGTGGTCGTACTCCCAAGGAGGTCGGCTAGACGCATGTCAGAGGAAGTCTAGCACAGAATCTGGATCACCGTAGGAAAGGCGACGCACTAAAAAAGACATGAGATCCTGCATCTCCCAAGTTCTCGATTTTGAACTTCTCGGTTTTGCTTCGAATTTGGAATACCATGATTGTTTAGGAGAACGAAGATTGAGCAAATGCTGGGGAACGGCGAGGTCTCGACCTTAAGTTACCCTTGAAGATTTATTCCAAGTGTTGCGCTGTGGCACTTGTCGGGGCTGTGGGCGCGGAATCCTCCCGCCCATCCCGATGGGGAGAAGTAGTGCGTTCTACCCAGGTTACCACAGCCAACAGCCAAACGTTATTTCAGATAACGCGGCCTCACTGTGTCCTACTTCGTAGCACTTTCTATTGATTCAAGCTCTCTGACCTCACTCATCGCTACCTCTACTTCTATTGTAGATTCGTGGTGTCGTTCACGTCTAATTCTCTCTATATCAATCACTACAACTGAATATGGTCTCGTCTGCGTCGAGATCTTCCGAGGGGTACCTCTGGACCCCGAAAGGTCCGACCGATGGTCTCGAGACTAAGGCATCGATAGCTACTCCTTCGATTCGTAGCGATTGCTACGATGTCGTGGTTATTGGCGCTGGATTTGCTGGTCTGGTCGCTGCACGAAACATCACGCAACAAACACGCGCTCGTGTGCTCTTACTGGATGCCAGAGACAGAATCGGAGGGCGAACTTGGACCGCCATCGTCGCTGGCGAAGAAATCGAAATGGGCGGCACCTGGGTCCACTGGAATCAACCGCACCTTTACGCCGAGCTCGTACGCTATGGCCTACACCGCAACCTCAAGGCATCTGCCGGCACATCCGAAGCCGTGAACCAATACTACAAAGGAGGTGACGCTGTGATAGAAGAAGTATCGCCTGAAGAGTTTGGCGAGATATCCGAGAGAGTTTGTGCGAAGCTTTTCCAGATTGATGGACTAAGCAGCCGCGAGCTTATGCCTTTTCCACACGATCCACTACGCGACCCAGCGCCTTGGAAGAAGTATGATCACCTTAGCGTGCAGGACCGACTCGATCAGATGAAAGATGTATCGAAGCACGAGAAAGCAGTCTTCGCAAGTTTAGTGAATTCATTCGGAAGTGCTCCACCAGAAGATACTGGGCTCGTGGAAGTACTTCGCTGGTACGCCTTGGGAGGCCATACAATGGCCCAGACTTTCGAATTAGCTGGTACCTACAAGATTGGGACAGGAGGCATGACCAATTTTGCCTTATCTATCCTAAGGGACTACAAAGGCGATCTATCATTGAAAACACCGATTAGCCAAATTAGCCAGGATCCCAACGTTGTCGCCATCACCACAAGAGCTGGAAAGCAAATCAAGGCCAAATACCTGATCTCGACGATTCCACTGTAGGTTCCGCATGTCGACCCACTGGAAAGCAACTGCTAACAGAGATTGGCACAGTAATTGCCTCGGTGACGTCTCCTTTGACCCACCATTAAGCCCTTTGCGTCAAGAGGCTATTCGTGTAGGTCACATCAACACAGGGGCTAAGATCCACTTCAAGCTTGCTGCAACGCAGCAAGGCTGGTTTACAACCTGCAGCACCCCTCGCACGTCTCCCTTTGTTTTCGGCTTTTCAGACCATAATGGCACACAAGCCACAGGTCCTGACGGAACCTGGTGCATTGGGTTCGGCTACAACGGACAGCTTAACGATAAGACTGCCAGCCAACGCATCATTTCGGAATTCAAACGGACTCTCAATCCCTACGCTGACGTTAAGCTGTATGCAACACATGACTGGATGAACGACGAGTATGCGAAGGGCGTGTGGCATTGCTGGGGCCCTAAGTCTATGACTAAATATTTGGCTGAGCTGCAGAAGCCGGAGAGGAGGATTCAATTCGCGAATGCGGATTGGGCCGATGGGTGGAGGGGCTTCGTAGATGGTGCGATTGAAAGGGGAATGTTGGCGGCCACAGAGATTGTGCGATCGCTAGAGAACACGTCGACTGCGAAACTGTAGAAATGCACCCCACATGCGGGTTTGACTGTAGTACTTATTTCGAACTTTTAGTTTCTAATGGCTCGAGGCGTATTTCTTCGTTAGTTCCTCATCATTAGCGAATCTCCTCAATTATCCAACACCTGTCGTTGATGTCATCTTACACCGTCTTCTCTTGACGGGAACCGAATTGTTTTGCTTCCTGAGGACTGGCCGCCGTTGCAAGCTTATCTTGCGCCCTTAAACTCATATCCCGATTAGCTTGCTCTAGCGACTTATGCTATGGCTTGCATCGGTGCGGTGGTAAACCCAAGAGTCGCGTGGCGCGTTCGCGGGTCGTGCTAGTTTGCGATAAGTGCTTTGAAATGGGCAGAAGGTGCGATTGGTCACAGATTTGTGATCAACTCCTTTCAGAAACCACTTGCTTTCCCCCACTATCTTGAGAAGTTCACCAGACATAAATGTAATCTGCTACGTGTAGTCCTTCTGTGTCAACTACTCCTTCCATAATCCTCTGATAATCTGTTTTCAAGTCCCCTAATGTCTCAAACGCAGGAAGGGAATGTACCTATGATGGAAGAGAAGAATGCCGCCAAGGACGGCGCAAGTAGGCACGCATACTACAACCCGATGAACAATGATTTAGAAACTCACTCCCCAATGCAAAATGCCTACCCACGGAAATCGTTCACTTGGTCCTCCATGTTGGCAACCTGCGTGTCCTTGATGTCGACGTGGGAAGCCTTTTGTAGCACCATGATAACTGGCCTTGTCAGTGGCGGGCCGGTTTCACTCATCTATGGGTACATCAGTGAGTGCACTTCTTGTGCTATGCATAGGCAGCTTTTTTTGACACCAGTAGTTGCGTTGGCAGGAACATTGGCCACTGCTCTTTCTTTGGCTGAGGCAGCTTCAATGTGGGTACAATATGGCTGAACAGGGCTTTGTTGATTGAGCGCATGAAGGCTGACGCATGATCATTAGGTACCCAACCGCTGGTGGGCAATACCACTTTGTTGCAGCTCTTGCGCCTGAGCGCTTCGCCCGCGGTGCCAGCTGGGCCGCTGGCTGGATCACAATGTTCGGATGGCAAGCCGTAGCAGCCAGTGCGCCATTTCTAGCAGGGACCATGATTGAGAGCCTCATCAGTTTCAACTATCCCGATTACAACCCACAACGCTGGCACGGCACCATGATTTACTGGGCAATTCTTGTGATTGCGCTGATCGCGAACACGCTACTGAGCCGAAGTCTCCCCATCATCGAACAGGCAACCATGGGTCTTCATGTTGTTATCTTCTTTGTTCTCCTCATTGGTATCGTCGTTGCATCACCCGAAAAGAACTCTGCGTCGTTCGTGTTCGCAGAGTTCGTCAACGAGACGGGCTGGGAGAGCAGTGGCCTTGCATGGTGCATTGGGATGCTCAGTTCCGCCTACGTTTTAGTCGGTAGGCTCCGCATCCCCTTACTCCCGGAAGATCCAACAAAAGCTGACTTTTTCAAAGGGTACGACGGTGCAACGCATTTAAGTGAAGAGATGGATAATCCCGCTACCGGTGTTCCTCGCGCCATGATCGGTTCAGTCGTGATCAATGGAGTGATGGGCTTTGCGTTCCTGATTGCCATTCTCTTCAGCATGGGCAATCTTGAAGAAGACTTGACTTCACAAACAGGTTTCCCCATCATCCAGGTGTTCTATCACGCCACGAGCGGCAATATGCGCGCGACCTCCGCAATGACCGCAGCCATTATTCTGATGGCCTCGCTGGCCACGATCCCACTCGTCTTGTCTGCTGCACGCACGTTATGGGCTTTGTCTCGAGATCAGGCTTTCCCATTCACTTTGGTTCTCTCACATATTGACGAAAAGAGGGGGGATTCCGACGCGGGCGGTGTTTGCGACGACCTTTTTCCTCGCCCTCCTTGGTCTCCTCAACATTGCGTCGACGACCGCATTCAACGCCATTGTTTCCCTATCTGTGGTCGGGCTGTACTCATCATACCTACTTGCAGTTCTGGCAATCTTGTATCGGCGGATGACGGCACCACAACAGATGCAGTTCGGCCCATTTCGACTTGGAGCTTTTGGAACTATCGCCAATGTGGTCAGCATCTCATACACCGTTTTTACTTGCCTAGTTCTGTTGTTCCCCTCCATACTATCCTGTCACGGCACTAAACAAGAATTATGCATGCGTCATTCTTGGCGCGGTTCTGATCTTCAGCCTCGCCTTTTGGCTCATCAAGGGTCGAAAGCATTATTCAGGGCCTATCTTTGATACTGATGTCATTCTCGGAAGAACAGTCACTGGCGTATCTGGAGTGTAAGCAGCGTGTGTTTGTTTATACAAGGGACAAGAAGCAAGCAGTGCATTTCTCCATCAAATAGCAATCTTTGTGAACGACTTCACCTTTTGCTTAAAACCAATGCGCTTCCGTTACTTCGCAACTCGGCAACAGCGCCTTCCGGTATCTTGTTTACTGCACCTCTTAGCACCATACATTCACTACGGTCGCAATGATTTTAAGTTGACATACGTCAATCTGTTTGCTTTCGAAATTGCACGTCTATCGCATAATTCCCGTTCATCCAGAAGCGGTCGTCACCTCGTGCTTTCCTTACTTGGTCCTTGCATTTCAGATGATCAACGACTGCAAAGATAGGTGTGAACAGGTCCTTTGAACGCGATCCGTGTATCACGGTGCCCCGTGGACATCTGTTCCGCTGCTCGCTGTGCCCCGCACAGAGGGGTTCGTACTCAATAAGGGTTATGTGACTCCTTCTGACCAAGCACCAATCGCACTTGTACACCAAAAACGGCTTTGATCAATTGTTTGCACCTCACGCCCAATCTGAGGGCCTCGGTTCGCCACCCACTTCTCTTCATATCCTCTATTTCTCTAGCTGTAAACCGATACTTACGGAGTATGTCATCCGTGGATGTGGTTGCGTAAGGATAGTGTATGCCGCACCAATCGGATGTATGCCGATGGAGACCGGAACCGCAGATTGCGCCAGCTTTTGCAATGGCAAATTTGCCCTCCACTCACAGATTAACCATATGCAGATGATAGAGGACAATACACGCATTGATATTCTGATAACGAGGGGGAAGCATGTAGTCCTCGGGCTCCGGGTCGCCTGTGTAGGTGGTGATGCGAATGTTGACCAGCATTCAAGTACTCGAACACAAGTGCTCGAACAGAAATGCAACAGGGCTTTTCGTTTTCCTGACCTTTTATTGCACGTCACCAGTCACCGAGAACCTAGGGTCGTGCTGTATCCCCAGCGAAAGGTTGACACCATGGTGAAGGCAACCCCGGAGACTCTTACTCTTCCAGCCTCTTGGTACACCAGCCAGGATTTGTATGAGCTCGAACGAAGAGCCATCTTTGCTAAGCACTGGTTACTCATTATTCACGAATGTCGCTTCGTGTCGACTGGAAGCTATGCTAGCTTCACTGTTGCTGGCTATCCTTTTTTTATCATTAAGGACAAGGAGGGTTCCCTGAATGCCTTCTTGAACGTTTGCCGGCATCACGCCTTCCCGGTAGTTCAGCTGAACGAAGGAACGTCTAGAATACTCTCATGCAAATACCACGGTCAGTAGTACCGCGCTCTTCTATTCCATCATGATCGATGGACCTCTCTCGAACCAAGCCATCGACTATGGAAGGACGATTAGGCTAATAAGCACCTAGGATGGTCATATGGGCTTAATGGAAAGCTTGCCAAAGCACCTAAATTTGACTCCGTGCCTGGATTTGACAACGCGGCCTACTCGCTCTACAAACTACACCTCAAGATTGACAACAGACGATTCGTGTGGGTCAACTTCGACGCCGCAGAGGAGCCCGAAGTACCTGGGAGAAGTACTTCGAAAGTGTGGATAAGCAAGCCCGCCTTCAGGCCTTCAACATGGACGACTATAAATTTGACCACGCGTGGAATATGGATGGTCAGTACAACTGGAAGACCCTGGTCGATAACTACAACGAGGTACATAATGTATGAGACCCTGTAGAAGACTCGCGGTTAATATTGCGAAACAGTGTTACCATTGTGGCGTTGCGCATCCAGGTATCGCCAAAACAACAAACTTGAACACATATCATGAGAAAACTCCAAACAGCACCGGTTATATTGAGCACTACGCCGAAAGCAAGATAAATGAGGACGACAATTCTGGCAACGTCGCACCGACTTTCTTCTTTCCAAATGCCTCTGTTACTATGACGTAAGTCGGTTGCACGGTAACATGGGGATATGGACCTGACGCCATATACAGTGATGATTACTTCTACCTCATGCGAGTCGTGCCTACAACCTCCGTCAGCGTGTCAATGCAATACGAAGTCTACCGCCACAAGAATGCTACCGACGAAGCCTTCAATGACATTGACAATTTTTTCAAGCAAATAGAGGGCGAAGATAAGTTCTTGTGCACGAACGCGCAGAAGAACCTGATCGCTGGAGGATATGTTTCTGGTCCACTTCACCCACATAACGAGAAGGGCGTGCTGCACTTCCAGTCGTTGGTTAAGGATATTTTAACAGATCATCGGGCCCTCGAGAGGAAGAGTGGTGTAGATATTGCTCCAGCGCGCAGAATGCCGGCGAATAACAAGACCCAGGAGGAGGATGTCTTCTGTGCGAGCTTATGTGACATAGGAGGCGATACCAAGGGTCTGGTCTGGTAGAGAGTATTAGGAAGCAGACTTTTTCGGCGGATTAATCGTTTGGAAAACCTTTTGAGTGATGTCCCCTCTTACACAAATATCTCTGCCGCAAGTCCTGCATTAGACCTTGTGCCTGCATGCATTCATCCAACAGCGCTAGCTTAGTGCTCAATACTTCGTGTATGTGAGGAGGTCAGCTCCGCCCGCAAGCCCGCTCTCGACCCTCTCCCGCCTCGCGACAGCGTCCTCCGCACTTCACACACTTCGATATCTTCTGAGGTCATTCTAGGCTTTGACTTTGACGTAGCAGAATACGTGATACTGTGTCAGCACACAAGTGGATATCCGCCAGGGAGCCTTCAGCAGTGCCAAAACATTTGTAAATCAGTATGCTCCGACGTATCATGCCCATAGCCCTCAATCAAGTGTGACCCTCATTGCCGCCTACGCAAATGGCATTGTGAAGGTATGAACTCGCATCTTCGTGGAAGATTATGGGGTATTAAGGAACGCCTCACAACCAATTCCATGATCATCTACAAACGTATAAGCAACATCGCAGCTAGATTCCAATATCTACACGTAGACAAACGAGATAAGGGCGAGGCCGAGCGTCACAAACACCAACAGCCACCGCCACAGTCCGCGCTTGACTATCTTCTTAGCGAACTTGTCTATGGCCTCGCCGTCATTGATCCTGGGAAACGGAATACCCTCGGGTTCGGGCTTATCAAGTGCTTTACATAGTGGGCCCCATCCTTCTTTGACGTCGAAAAACAGAAGTCGCTCCTCTGGCACAATGTCCTTCAGCCACGCCACATGCCGATCGTACGTCTGTCTTGTCGGGGGATCACGCTCTCCGTACAGATACACCCACTGTTTGCGCAGCACTCCTATGTAGTCCACGAAGTGGCGCATTCCTGGAAGAGGGAAGAGGACGCCCCGTAGGAACCACATAGTCGAAGCCCTAGATACACCCGACATGCTCTTCACCCAGCCGTCTGGGTCGCGGACTGTGCAAATGACTTTGGCATTAGGATAGAGCTCGATCAGCTCTTCTACCAGACCTGAGGTGGGTGCATCTGTAGCTGCGGCATAGCCATCAAAACGTTCTTTAAAGATATCAAACACTGTGCCTTCGTCAGCGCTTATAAGGTTTTCCGTCATAGAGACGAACCGATCTTCTTGTCGGCTTCCTTGGCTGGAGGCCAGTGTGACAGCAGTTTTATCCACGATCGCATCTCCACACTCTTTCCTAGTGTTGTTTGGGTGCCTCCATGATATACAGGTCCACCATCGAGGAGAATACGAAGCGCCTCGCTGAATGATGCCGTGCCGGTGCGCGAAAGTCCGGCGCCAATAATTTGGAATTCGGTGCCAGGCTTAGCAGCGGAAGGCTGGCTGCCCATCGTGAATAGAAGGCTTTTTGTGTGTCCTGTGCTTCAGATTTGGCCAGTGAGGGTGCCTTAAATAGCGTAGAGATTTGCAGATAAGAATTTAGCCAGTCTGTGCACCCACCCGTCTGAAGTACCATGCTAATCAGACTGCAACGTAATCACTAAGTGTTACATTTACCGCCTTAGTATAGCTTGCACCATTAAACAAAATAAGGGCATCGATTGCCTCGAGCAGAGTATAAAGAAGTTATATTCAACAACTCAATTCGGGATCCATTTAATCTCATGGAGATCTTCTAGAACAGTAGTCGAGCCAAAGACAAAGCTCATGTCGCATCGCGGAGCCATTCATGATCCAACACCCTTAGCTAGGGCCTTCTCCCATACACCGATTGTGAACTCCCAGATCTTGTCACCCCATCCACCTTCTTGGTATTGAACAAGCACCCGATTGTCGGCCACAACCCCGTTGAGGTGGTTGACGCGCCAAGATCCAGGGATGAATATTTCGCTCGTCAGCTCGTATGCATGCCTCTCGCCAGATTCCTTTGCTGCCATACCAAAATACTTTATGATCCACCCTGACACAACCTGAAAGAAGGAGATGAAAGCCCACCAGGCCAATCCATCGGATTTCGAGGGGTAAGCAGTGCGAGGGGTATCCGTGGATACGAATCCCGGGGTAACATGCAGGAAGGTGATGTGCTTCTGACTGTCGCTGGAGGCGAGATGATCAAAGGCCAGGCTCGTGCATATAGTAGTATGATTGACGACTGCAGCAATGCCCCAATGCGTCTCAAGCCCAATGTCTTCTTCGTCTATCTTCTTTTCTTTGGTACCATTAAGGATAGACAGAACACGCGGCTGAGAAGATCTATGAAGGAGAGGCAACAAATTCGAGACGAGCCGCAGACGAGAGTAATGTGAGACGGCGAAGCAAGACTCGAGGCCCTCTTCCGTGTCTATTCCCTCTATGAGCCGTGCAGTAGAGATAAGGGCAGTTGATGACACTTACAGACGGCGCCTTGGAATGGCATTCCACCAGGGCTCACGCAAATCATGTCCACTTTCTCAGCGGCTCCGCGAATGAATGTGCAGGCGTTGTCGACTCCCGAGATTAGGGAAATCTGTGCCTCAACAAAGACAATGTGTTGTTTGTAGGGCCGACTCTCTTCAGCTCTTCGAGCTCTTCTTGGTAACGATGGGGATCGCGTCCTATGACGTAGAATGTCGATGCGCGCAACAGGCTGACCATCTCTCTCAGGGTTGCAGCACCGATACCAGCAGTAGCCCCAGCAAACACGCACACAAGGCCGGAATGGTCTTGCGCCGCGTAGCGTGCATTGCTCCTGCGGATTTCGGAGAGTTCGACCATGACTGCAGTCGAACAGGCGTACAGGGCAGGCGAAGGAAAGTTGCGAGGTCGATGCTGGGTGCCAGAGGATCGGCGGTTTGCTACCTATAAGCTGTGGGATACCTTCTAGGGCACGAATCGCCTTTTTGCCACGTGAACCTGCGTCACCGAAGGGGACTAATCATTGACTGCAGCACTTGAGCTGGGTCATGGGACTGAAAAGTGACCTCGGGAGCCGTGCTCCAAAGGTAGTGTCACTACGACTGAAACATGGCAGATGCACGCAAGAAGCTGCTGCCTGCTACCCCCCGCTGTGCCTTGGGGGCGTAGCTGCTCGAGCCCAATAAATTCGCTTACGGTTCACGCCATGCGGCGGATCGAATCAGAAGCCGATTGAACCTGGAGCGGTACCAGCGAGATGGATTGTCCTGAGGTAGTGCAAATGAATGTCCACCGGTTCATTGAACGCGTTGCTGCAGTACTGCGGCGGGTTGTATCACGAGGCTTGATAGTCAAACCCTGAGGCGTGTTGGTTGAGGGACGCGACGCAGGAGCCTCGTTATACCCAGGTACTTAACCTATTCTTGGACTGTTGATAAAGGACAGAGAGTTCTTAGGTTGCGGCAATTGGTGCGCTAGTGACACTCGTCAACGAAACCGGTTCGCGTCCAGGGTACCAACCAAGCTCCCAGTATGACGATAACGCTTGCGGGGATACGTCCCTTCCACAGGAAGACGAAGACTCATACGATGACCATTGGAATCTCAAGCAATATGACGTCGAAAGCCACCCTAACACTGTACAGAGCCTCCGTGGCGTTGATGTTAAGCATTGTACAAGAGGTATATCGCTTCAGCGGGCCCCATCTATCCTGAATCGGACGAGATGAAAAGCTGGGAAGAATCTCGAAGATGAAAACGTTGACGCCCTGGATTATCACGAGTGCCCAGATGGTCGGCCTGTACTTGTTGTCAGCCTTTGCGAAGAGTCGACGGTAGAACAACAGAACAGATACTCTGATCGATGCCAACATCGCCGGATAAATCGATGAAGCGACGAACACTCCCTTGAAGAAGACGATGAACTCGCCGTGTGTTATGTCACCAATGGGTTTACCGATCCCGGAGTAGAAGTTGAAGTATGCCGCCATCGCCGTCCAACCGATGTAGAGTAGCTAGAGCATTTTAGGACAAAGTCCACGTGTTGAGGGGTAACACCTTAGCACAGCCGGGATGATGGAATAGTCATCGGCTGCCGCACTTCTCGAAGGGAACCTTTAACCTGGCCGAGCGAAAACGGTAAGAGACGCCACGATGCCGACGACAATGATGGCAATAGCCTCCGAATCATACCTATACGTGTTGTTTATCTGCAGCGGTGGAGGGGTGAGCTGGTGAAACGGCTTGGTGGTGTAGAATATGATCGTTGCGTAATGCGCTATAGGAAGAAACAGTTCTGTTTTTCGGGCTGTGGAGTACGTGATAGATTCGGTGAGACGGCCGATGGCTTTCATGGAAAGGCCCTTAAAATTGCCGCACATATGCGCACCGACCGACGGGTCGCAATAATGCGCGAGCATAGAGCGCTAATTCAATAGATTGCCTGCATATACATGCAAAATACCATTAGCTTCTCGGAATCCGAACATTTTCACCAAGCTTCGCGGCTGCTCAACTACATGTGTGGTGCAGTAGGCGCTTACGTTCCACAACATTCGAACTGTGCCTCCCCATCTTTCGGTGGACCAATGTGGTAAGAACGGCTAAAAGGACCACCCCACCTTCTGCGGAGTCCAAGCCTCCATCCAATGGTTCGCAACAACTGATAAAGGCAAGTGGTACAAGTTTCAGGCTGTGGAGGTCCTGCTCAAAACCTCCGGGTGCCATGTTTCCTGTTGCTTGACGGATCAACGCGCCAAATATTGGACCCCAAAAGCATCGCATATCGCAGCCCGACCACTGAAGCAAGGAACAGATGTAAGACGCGGAGTGAGGTAACTACCTTGATCATGCCGTCGGAGATTTCCCAACTACGTCTCCCTAATACAAGCGAGATGTGCTTGATATTACTTGAGTTTCATTCAGCGAAGTGTTGTTCCACTTCCGGCCTGCGTATGTATACATACAAGCCTTACGTAGGTTTTGGTATCAATGAGCAGAGGTAACACATTCGGGATGAGAGTATGAGGCAATCATTCCTCCAGGCTCAAACGGCCGACAGGGGCACAGCCAACAATTATTGACAAGCCTCGCACAATGCGTGGCAGAAGCGATCATCTGCCCAATCTCAACAGGGCTGTGAAGCTTCTGATCCCTAAGCTGTCTTGATATAGTCGGGTGGCCCAGCCCCCAGCGTGACGTCAATGCGCATTGATGAATACGAATGCTCATACAAATATGACAGACGACCCTGGATGTGCAGATGATAGAGGATGAGCTTTCGCCATGAGTATGCGCGCTTCTCAAAGTGAAGAAAGAGGTACTTTTGCTAACACGTTGCCTTAGGTGCCAAACCGGTTGAGACGTTCGAGCGTACCGACATGGAATATAGCCCGCTTACCTCAGCTCTACGCGACACCTCCACCTCACGCGAAGCAGGCGAGACCGAGTCCCAACAAGCAAAGTCAGCATGGCGAAAGCGAGCAAGGTCTTGGTGGCGCAGCCCATTTTCTGGCTGGCGGGGAGGCCTTGCACGGTGGACTGCCGGTGCGATGCTCGTCCTCCTACTCAACATTACCATTGCCATCGTTGCGGGTGTGTCTTGGAAACCAGATGAGGAAATTGCGACCGCATATACTGGTGACTGCAAATTCGTATCGCGCTTGAACCAAGGGTTACATTTTGTTGTTAATCTTCCAAGCACGCTCCTCTTGGGCGCCTCAAACTACTGTATGCAACGCCTAATTGCGCGTACGCGACAGGAAATCGATGCTGCGCATGCGCGGAAGAAGTGGCTAGATATTGGGATACCCGGATTGCGAAATCTGGCGTCTATTAGCGCGCTGCGGTTGGGGTTATGGTTCCTTCTTGGCATTAGCAGCGTGCCTTTGCATTTCGTGTAATTTGGAACCCGATTTTACTCCTTTCTTAGAGGATATACTGCTGCTTAACCCAGTTTCAACTCTGTGCTCTTCGAAACTCAAGGAGAATTCATAGTGGATTTCGCTCTTGTAGATCCCACTTTCTTCACCCAGAAAGCCTCATCGGACGGTTTCGTGATCTCGGTGTGGCAAAGACATGTCCTCAACGATCAATACCTGAATACTTCGCTATGGGAGAATCTTACCAGCGACGAGTGTATCTCGCGTTACAGTGCACCCACTATTTTGGATGCCGGAGATGGGTTCGGCGTCCCGACGCTGGAGTATCGGAATACCGTAGCGTGTGATTAGGGTTTTTGAGCACGTTGTATACAGAGCGCCGTCACCCTGTTTTATAGGCACAACCTGTAAGTAGAAAGTAACATTGTTATGCTCATAGGTTTATCTTAAGTAGAGAAAATCTAACAGGTGTTATCTACTTAACATCTATCAGACACTTATTCTAGCATATTAGTATATATATATATTAGGAAGGAGCCTATAAGTGCCTCCTACCTTACAGGATACCTACACTATACTATATCTATAGGCTATTAGAAACCTACTATCCTTTCCTAAGTACTACAGAGACATGCCTTCTAGTATAACTTAAAGTGGCGTACCTTATAGTAAGGCGTATAGCGCTCTTTAGGGAACATTCACCCTATAAGGCGTTATCTAAAGACTGCTAAGACCTAAGAACACCTAATAAAGGTCTCTATAATAGATTTTAGTATGTTAACAAGCCCTTAGCATAATATTATACTAATAAAGGTAATATCTGCTAATAGAGGTAACATCTACCCCTTAAAGAGCAACTATTATATAATAACACTATAGTAAAGTTGCGACCTATTAGGCAACTATTACCTTTGTAACAGCTTTTAGAAAGCTGCTCAATTCACTCTCGCTATCCTCAGCATGTTCAATTTCCCCCCTCCCGCGCTACGGTACTCATGGCCTGAATGCTACCCCTTCTTCATCTTGGCAACTCTACAATTACTGGAAAACGAATGGTCTTAAAACCGATTCTGACGGTGACACTATCACTTACGAGTGTGAGTACTCTCACGGCCGACAAAGCTATATCCTATGGTTCTAACGATTTGCAGATTGTTTGAGTCAGAAAATGCCCAAACAACCCTGCAGACTCCAGTTCAGTCAAACGATTCTTTACCTCGTTATCGCATGCAATATCGGTAAAGTCGCAGCCATGATTGCGATGCTCAAGAAATTGGACCACAACACCATCGTCACCGTTGGCGACGCTGTGCAATCTTTCGTTCGAGCACCAGACACTACCACCAAAGGCTGCTGTCTACTGCCAAAACAGGACATAGCTAAGAGATGGAATACCCCACGAGAGAATCTACATGGCGTCGCATTTCAGAAGCCAAAGAGAGTTCCTTGGTTCACAACGGTGAGCTGCAGACGCTGGTTTATCGCACTCCTTCTGTAAGATGCGGACCGCTTAACGTTGTAGCAACGCAACATGCCACTGAGTACAGCGGCTAATGGTCGAGGCGTAGGTACATCACAACAATAAGTATAGCGATAGGACTATACACACGGACGAAACCATACTGTGACAGGGACGGCCACTGTAGTACTAATGGGTTCGGTCACTTTGACATGAGTGAGTCTGTTTCCTGCTACATTCCCTACCACATACACATTGAACTAAACCTCAACTGCAGACTTCACCATAAACCTCGACATCCTCAATAACAACTCCATCACCACCACTGTTCTCCTCGCTAATTTACCCCAAGCCATAATAGCCTTCCTATACCTCACCTACAATGGCATATTTACAGTCATGCTAGCTAATCGCGAATGGACACAGTACTCTGTCAAGCGGGCCCCACTCCGCGTCACCAATCCAACCCCGAGCCAGCGCTCAACTTACTTCCTTTCACTACCCTACACTTTCAGCATACCGCTGCAGCTCGCTTTCGCCACGCTGCACTGGCTAGTCTCTCAATCCGTCTTCCTCGCTCGCATCGATGGTCTCCCGGTTCACCAGTGGAATCTGGACAACAATGGGACTTTGCACAGCATTGAGCAGCTTTATAAGCATGTTATAGCTGGTGAGGTATATACAGCGGATGACTTACATACTGCGCTGGTATATTCTGCACCTGCAATTCTTACTAGCATTGCTGTGGGATCGGCGGTCGTGATCGTGTGCTTTCTTGTCGCGGCTATTGCGAGATATCCTGCCGGAGGGATGCCGCTTGGTGGCACAAATAGTGCTCTTATTAGTGCGGCTTGCCATGTGTGGGATGCTGATGGTGCGCAGAAGGAGGATGATGCGAGAGAGGAGATCGTAGCTAGGCCGCTAAAATGGGGGGTAACAAAGGAGGACTCGCGAAATGAGGCGGGCCATTGCTCTTTTAGCGATGGAGAGGTGAGGAAACCGGTTGTGGGGTTTTTGTATGCTGGGATGGTAAATTCGTCACAGTAGCCTTGAAGATGCCTTAATGACAGAATCGATGCTTCTTAAACTGACCTGTGCAGACCGTCGCGCTGAGCTAATCGTGCGCAGAACAGAATCTTGCTGTAGCCAGCCTTTTCCTTTCCGTTGCCAGTCGATAGGTCGTCAAAGGTCACCTCATGCCCATCCCGCCACGTATGCGAGAGGATTGCATACGGAGGGACCTCCTCGTCGCTGATAAAGGCTTTGGTCAAACTGAGACAGCCATCAGGTGTATAATGACTTCAGAAGTCGCATCGCGTTGACCCGCCGCTGATACGCGATCCTGCGTGATCCTCGGCTTGAGCCATCGCTAGTCGTCGTGTTCGCAAAAGCAACAACGATGATGATCCTTGGGGGAGAATAATTAGTAGAGAATCATGTGCAAAGGACACAAGGCCGAGTAGTAGGAAGGGTCATTTGATATTTGTGCACACAGTTAAGAGGGGTGCGGAGGGTGCAGGTCGTAAACCAAGAGCTGATCAGGCGACGCAGTCCACCATGTGTGCTATTGGAGCAGGCTGCAGAATAGACGTTGCGTATCTGTCTGCTCTTCGCTATGATAGTCGATCTTGGTAGACATTGTGCCACCTGCCGGTGATTATGCAGCCGTGGATGGGTATCACACCATAATCCGCCAATCTGCCGCTCTATAGATGCGATAGTGGCTGGCGGCTCATTTCTCCGAGCCTCGAGTATGCTTATCGCGCTCGATTTGTGATATGCGCGTTGGGCGAGTTACATACACGCTGTACATCCTGTGCCGCAAACATGCAGATATCCCTCGGTTTGGCCAATCAAGTTGTTCATCATTTCGACAGTGAATGCTTGTACCCGCCTTCGAGCGAACGCTCCATAATATAGATTAACCTTACTAAGATTTAAACATGTGCATAAGCCAGAGCCAAGTAGAGAAATTGGTTTTTTCTTAGCGAGGGTTACTTAAGCATCGTGAGATCCCTTACGCATTTCGCGCCCAATTAAAAGGCCTTAAACTCTACCAATCTCACCCTCTTTCCGGCTTTCTGAGGAAACGATACTCTTAGTTGATTCGTACTTACAGCACTCCATTGAACATTTGTTATACCATTGGCCAGCAATGTTTCTCCATACCCGTTGATCTTGACCCACGCTCCGTTGACGAGTTGAAGGATGTCGTAGGTCGGAGGAGCAATGAAGGTAGCTCCGTCGTCGTAGAATGCAAGTGTGCAGCCGCTGAGAGAGGTGGATGTTCCGAAATCAATAGTGTACCATTGCGTGCTGTCTGCGCTCTGGGCATCAGAGTTCCAGCCGTTGGGCAACTCAGGAAAGAACCAGACACGGCCATCGATGGCATCGTGGAGGTTCTCGGCAGCCGTTCCGGAAGAGGCAGAGCCCTTTGGGTATTGGTCACGATATAATTGAGTGGACTTCGTAATGTTGGTGCGGATGATCGCAGGTGGGGTCCCCTTACTGATGGTGGCCGTGAGGCGCTGGATCGTCGCGGCGGAAGCAACGACTACACCGTCAACTTCTACTTTAAGTCCCACACCACGGCTATAACGGGAACCGGTGCTGTCCCACTCCACGGCGATGGAATGTCCGTGGTAGCTGATATCTTGCAGACGGAAATAGGAGATGTCGGAGCCGGTGGGGACTAGTGGATTGACCTCTAAGGTGTTATCTGCGCGAGGGCGAATACCGACCAGACCAGAAATTATAAGATCGTTGTATCCAGAGTGGAAATAGTGGGGTGAGCGGGCTAGACCAACAATAGCGCCCGTCTTATCGGGTTCATAGTCCTCCTGAAGATTCAATACAACGCCATTGTAATGCAGTCGAGTGTAGCTCCTGATTTCGTACAAGTAGTCCGTCTTGCTAATTATGCTCTGCGTATACGAGTTTAGTAGATTCGCCATGCCAAGCAATACTTGAGTAGTCTGGTATGGCCACACTGGGCCATTCCACTGACACTCGCGGTTCGACCCTTCGTAGCGATACTGCCGCATATAGTATTGGTAGCTAGGCTCATTTGTGCGCATACCGTTAGATCCACGTAGTTTCGAGGTGTCAATCAGGTGCTTCCAAGCTTGATTGTACTTGTCTACATTGTCGGGCATCCCGAACATCCAAGGGACGAGGCCTACCAGCTCCCGGCCTCGGATTGGCTGCCATTCACTAGGAGAAAGATAGAAATCAGCAATTGTCTCAGCATACAAGTACTAGCAATTGCGTTTAGTTAGACTTACGTGACATAACTAGTACTTCGCTGCTGACGATCGATAAAGTGCTGAAGCGTGGTGTTCCATATTTGTGCCTGGAACGTACTTTTTAAGGTCGCAGCTTTCTGTCTGTAGGTCGTGGCAACGCTAGATTGGCCAGCCAGATCGGCAACATTGGCAATTGCGATAGCGTTGGCCCACATGTACGAGTTGATTGATGGGCGATACGCGAAGCCTCCGGTAAATCCATCTTGACCCCCGCTGGCGTCGATCGATGATATAGTGTATTCAGTCGCATCCGTCAGCGGCTCCCGCCAGTAAAGACCTCTGGTCGTGTTGTAAGAGTCGTCCCACTGGCCATAGAGGTTCGTCATATAGTTCAGCTGGGCAGTCAAGAAGGATTGATCGCCGTCGACAAGATACCGCCCATATACGGAGTCGGCCATATAATCAGTAAAGTGCCGATCATTCGCACCACCCTCATACATGTGGCGAATATAGTCTTCCGTAAAGCGGCGATCGCGCAGCCAACGACCTTCACCAATATGAAACCCAGTCGCATCGTTGAGAGTGGCCCAAGGCTCAAGTTGCCAGCCAACATCATCTAGGAATTCTGCAGAGATTCATTAGTAAAGTCAGCCTGCCAGCTAGTGCATTTGAGTTTGCTTGCCTGTGGACACATATCCCCTTGAACCAAGGTCTCGCTGATGAGCTCGGAAGATCTTCCACCTGTAGTAGTATACAGATTGAATTTGAGCGTCAGAAATCTCAAAGAAAGGAATTCGGTTCTTGTACCAGGCTGCGTCGTTGCCGAAGTATTGAGTCGCGAGGCTTGCAGTGTTCAGAGCAGCTGAGACAGCTTGTGCTGCAATTGCAATTGCTGCTATACATCGCGCCATTGTTAGGCAGATTGTACTTGTTGGGAAAACGGGTGCGCACCTCGATATATACGATCGCCGAGTTTTTCTGACTCGCATAATTAGCTAATGCTTTTCCAGCTAACAGACGATGTTTCTCCGTCCTTTTCATCGGAAGGATCCTACGATTTGCTAGCGCTGTAGCTACCCCGCGTGCCCCGCAAAGACTCTATATTAGTATAACTAGTTTACGGAAGAATTTATATCGATTCCGTCTAACAGAGCGTATCTACTTGGGGCTGCTACGTATCTAACCCCAATACATCTCTTTTGAGGATCGCGCTCAAATATGCCTTTAGTCATGTCCTATTCTTGCCTAAATTCGCGAAACAGCTCGAACTCACACCTTTCGCAAGTTTGACATTGTTCACTTGCGACTTGTGACGCTTCTCATTACAAGCAACGATCCTACAACCATCATCGCGAATGTGGTGCAACTATCGAGTACGTCACTGTGCTAAGCGAGACCCTCGTCCGCCTCAGGGGCCGGTTTATTCATTTGATGTTCTCCTCGCTAATATCCCAATTCCTTAGGACCCGGTGGCTATCTTCAGAAGGGTGAAATCGACCATTGGTTATAGTGTAGGCAGTTGGGGCTGTCGGTTCTTATCAAACTACCACTACGTTAATCATCTTCCAGTCTTTACTCTCCATCGGCTACTCACCTTCACGCCATTCCCAACATCCAAAACCATTCCCTCCACCCCAAAAGCAATGAACGTATTACTGTCGTCGACCTTTTCTCCTACGCTCTCTATAAACGCTTTTTGCGCCTTCCGCACCGCGCTCACAGATCCAGCATCCTTGATGAAGATCTTGTATGTTACCGGGTACTCGGGCATGTTCTTTCCACCAAAGTAAGCTCGAATGTCGAATTGCTCGGAAGGGATGCTGATGTTAGCCAGGAGGCCGTAAACTTCGTTAGAGGCATGGGTCAGGAGCGCCTTGGTCAAGGCTGGCGAGAAAATCCTCTCGAGCCGCTCCTCCCTGTCTTGGGCGGAGACTGGCACTGCAAGGTAGAGCACCGCAACGGTCCTGCTTCCCTCCGCTTTCACAGAAGCACCGGATAGGCTACCGTTGAATTTCAAAGGCTTCTCCTCCGCCATCAATGGAATCGCCGTTTCGAGATCATTAAAGTTCAGGCCATCTGGTCCGACGACATGGTGGACGTGATCAGAGCCGAAACAAGCCTTTATGTGGTCCCAATTTCGGAAGTATAGTTCTGTCATGTCATCGCGGCCAGTCCAAGGGTGGTTGCTGGTGCCTAGGACGCCACCAGGTCGTTCGCCGAAAGCGGTGTCGAAAAAGTGCACTTGGATGTATTTGCTACGCACCTATTAATTACGTGTGATTTTGTAGGCTAGACATACGTTGTGTTTGTGCTGTGTGAACTAGAAGAGGAAGAGTATAACAAAGAAAAAGAGAAAAGAAAAGGACAACCCACTGAGGTTTCTCGTTAGGCGAATTCGGCTTGTCCGATATAGCACCGTGTATTTGGAAGTGGTGATCGAAGAACTCTTTGCGCGTAAGATTAGCCTTGCGGCGCAAGCATGCAATTTGCTTTAGGTGAGAAGTTTTGTGAGAGGACATGGCGTAATGTCTATGAAGTGCGCACTATAATGATACTTCAGATTTTTATTGCGGAGAACTTTGTTTATTTTATGCGCATTCGGGCAGCCTGATTCCGATCAACGATCGGCACATATATCGGGGCATACGAAGTTGCCCGTTGTTCTGAGCTTCAGACTTGCGTCTAGTCGGATGTACTGACAATGAAGCTAGACTAGATTGAAGGGGTGTGGCCAATCGGTCGCTCTCGGAGCCAAACAGTGTTCTGAAAGCGGTTACCGGCGAAAACGATCTGCGCGAAATGAGGTGGTCTAACCCGCAGCTGAGGAGACGGGTAGTTATATCGGCATGTCACTCACGCATGGACAAGACATTGTTGTACTTTTCAACAATCCTATATCGTACCCGTATGTCCTAGAGATCAACTATCATGTCTTTTCCCACCCCAAGGATTCAAAACCGCTCCACGTCGCAAAACAGGTTTTATGGGGAAGTCAACTGTTGTCCATGTGTAAGGGTTAACGAAAAGACTGTCATACTCGCATCACCCCAAGAACCTATTAAAGGGTACAGTTCATATGGCATGAGTTAGTCCAAGGCTAGATGCGCCAGTTTTGTAGATTCTTGTATTAGCTATCGTAGTCGAAATCGTTGTATAACGCGAGAGGCGCCCCCAGTCGAGGCTGTTCCAAGTGAGATAACGCATGCAAATCCATATCAAAAGCTTCCATTAATGACGGCAAGCTCATGCTAGATTGGAGTTTTGATGACTACTTTCTGAAAACTGTTCCGGCCCTCGAATACATCATGGATCGCAGCAAGGCCTGCATGCCCGCCTTCCACAACAGTCACTTTCGGGACGACAAACCCGGCTCCATAATTGTGAACAGCCCAGCTCACTGCCTCCTCGAGGCGCGCTTCACATTTGGGGGATGCTTTCCTCGGCGGCAGCGGCGGCGGAAAGGGGAAGTCGTTTGCCCGCGATGCCAAGACCATATTCCATCTCGGATTCCCGGGTTGAGGAAGTGTACACGCGAATTGGATGTTCGCTGAAGTAGAGAGAGATTCGCATTGCTTGATGGTGTTGATTCGACCCCCCTTGCACACTGTGTCGAAGACCATGGTCAATGGAACGGCGGATTGTTCAAGAGCGGTCTGGATATTAGCAACCACGTGCTCGTCACGGTAGTCGAAGCACAGAGACGCGCCGATCCTCTGTAGTGCTTCGAAATTCCGAGGCGACGCGGTAACAAATATCGAGTCGATATTCAATGCCCGAGCCAGTTGAATCGCGGCGGTTCCGACTGCACTGGCGCCGCCCCAGATGACCAGAGCGCCCGGATGTCCGAGGTTCGGATTCTGCTCGCCAGCGGGAAGGCGAAGGCCGAAATGATTGAGCAGAGCGTCCGCTGCTGTGCGGACCATAATGGACATTGCCGCCGCGTCGGGGTGAGACACATCCTTGTTGTCCAGCCGCATGGACAGTGAATTCGATTCGGTGATCAGAAAGTCTTGGTGGGCGCCATAGAAGGGTGGTCTCCTGGGGCCAGGCTCATTGGACCCAAACACGACGTCTCCTACGGCGTACCGGGACGTCTGACCGGTTGCAACGACAGTGCCACAGAATTCGTAGCCACATACGCTGTTGTTGAAGCCCAAGGCTCGTGCGTGTGCAAGGTCGGCTGGGTTGATCGCAGAATACGCGACTTTAACCAGTGCCTGGCCGCCAGAGGGTTCGTACTCTTCGATAACGGGCCGGATGGACAGCTTACCATTCGCGTCTACCCAGATGCATTTGTTGTTCGAGGCCATGTCGATTGGATGCTGAAACGCACTTTGACTTCTTCTGAAGACGAGGGAAGATAAGGTGTTATGACGCTCCAAGCGCTGCTTTCGCTGCTTTGTACGCGGAAATGTTGTCTCGATTGCCTGACAGGAAATGGTGGGAGCGATCAGATGTCAATTGGAACGGAGCAACCGACCCTCGAAAATTCCGAAACGCGTATATGTGTGGGGCCGCGCGTTTTCAAATTCAGATCGGGGAGATCCCTGCTGCGAGGCTTTTCAAAAAATGGTTATTAGCCACGCTGTCCATTCACAACACGTATATGAGAACGAACAGTCATTGCTCAGCTAAGAAATTCGACCGATTAACGTACCCGGTCAACGAACTTCGCACCCCACTAACTTTTCGCGCCTTAACAGCGATCTACCTCAGCAACACCACAAGTTTACATTACTTCAAGTTGGCAGTGATTACACAAGTAATTTCTCTCTTATTAAGAAAGTAATAAAGAGTTCAGAGAGAGTGTGTGTTCACATTTAGAGAATCTTTATAAAGCAGAGAAGAATGGAATTGAAACAAACATGAGCGCTGTGGAAGCTAACTAAGGTAGTGGGGTTTGCTAATTACTTACTCGTGGTAAACTGCATCTTTAATCGGGCCACGGGTGGTTTGAAGGTCCGAGATGGCAACTAGGAAGCGACGGAAGCTAACCAAAGCTATATTGCGGGGAACGTAGTCCAAATCTTGTAGAATCGCGTGATGAATTTGCCGATACTACTTACCGTGACTGGGATTACGGGTCGTTCCGGCTTGATACTGCACCTACATGAAAACGAATGAGAGACTATCTTGTGGAATTGTAAAAGTGCCTCGGCACCAAGCACATGCCCTGGCCTTATCTATTGTAGGACACTAGACTGGAGCACATAAAAGTCGACGGGGCCGGACGTTCATCTGCTTTCACTAATTCCGTATTGTCTTGTTTGACATTTCTATCACGTGTAATGTCTTTTCCGCACCCAGAGATATTTCAAACTGTCCCTCATCGAGTAACAGAGGAAACCATTCGTGACGGATACAAGCGTATCAAAGACGTTTATATTCCGCTTCGCGATGGAAGCGAGATCTGTGCTAATGTGTACCTTCCTATTCGCGCAAAGGCTGAAAAGTTTCCTGTTCTCCTCACCTTAGGCCCGTATGGCAAGGACATCTTCTTTGGAGACTTTGGAAAACCGCACACAGATATGTATTCGAACATGGCACAGGCCATCGATCCCCTCGGACCCGATGCCTGCTTCGAATGCCCCGATCCAATCGTCTGGGTGAACATCGTGGTCCCCGCTGGGGGGTCGTTTCATTGACGGATTTCAGGTCAGAAAACATGGCTATGCTCATGTGAGATGCGACGTGCGCGGGTCTGGCGCTAGTCCAGGCGTTCTTGACGTGTTTGGTCTGGGTCGTACCGCGCTTATTAACGAAGACTCAGAAGGGCAGGGTCAATCATCTGTTACCCGATCCTCATATTTGGCTGACTGAGCATCTACAGACGCCTACGATGTCGTGGAATGGGCTGGTACCCAAGATTGGTCATCCGGCAAGGTCGCCATGTGCGGCATAAGCTACTTTGGCATGGCTTGCTACTGGGCAGCCATGCAGCAGCCCCCTCATCTTACGGCCATAGTCCCGTACGAGGCCTTGACCGACATGTACGGTGACACAGTCCGTCAAGGCGGAGTGTGGCACACTGGATTTCAAAAACACTGGTTTAACAACACTATCGTTCCACAACAGTACGGCAGAAATGAAGGTCTCAATGACGCTCAGCTTATGAAGCAGCGCTTTGACTATGAAGCTCTGCAAACGAAGTGGCTGTGGCGCAGTGAGGGGCCTTGGCCTGTACTCGATCGGGAGAGGCAGTTGGCAAAGATCAAAGTCCCGATCCTGACCGCAGGCAATTGGATGGACTCCGAAGTTCACCTTCCTGGTAATGCAAGGTCGTTCGAGCAAGCTTCGTCAACATGGAAGTTTTTAGAAATGCACACAGGCAACCACCTTGCCGCATACTACGACGCGGCTCAGATCGCGAGGCAGATTCAATTCTTGGACTATTTTCTGAAAGGAAAACTTGATAACGGCCTCGAATCTTCCCCGCGGGTTGAATTACTCATTCGTCGCGGGGCTGAGAACTTCTATCGGTCTGAGAAGTCATGGCCGCCGCAAGATGCTGTTTTTACCCCGCTCTACCTGGCACCTATGGGCTGTCTGTCTTTCGAGCCGTACACTTCTTCAACCCAGGACAAGGCGATTGAGTACGCTGGCCTTACGGGCGGGAGCGACCTCTTCCAAACGGACGTCTTGAATGCAGACTTTGAGATATTGGGGTATCCCCACCTTGACCTGACCGTTTCTACCGACGCCAGAGATATGGATATCTTTGTATATTTCTACATCATCGACCCGAGCGGTACGAAGGTTGAGGTCCGGGGCAACCACGACGAGCCGGCTGTCTCTCTCCTTCGCGGCTGGCTACGACTATCCCATCGGACGCTCTCGAAGGATTCAAGGCTGGATAGACCCATGCTGGAACAGCTAAAGCCCGCGCCAGTTGAGGAAGACGAATGGTACAACGTGAAAATACCAATGCCATGTACCTCTATCCTCGTTCCTAAAGGATGCAGGTTTGCGGTCGCGTTACAGGCGACCGACGAGGAGGAGATCATTCCTCCCATGAGGCATAATGGGCCTGATAGATCCCAGGAGCTATTTCGCGGCACGAATAGGATTAGGCTAGGTGGAAAGATTATACTTCCATATGTAGTTCGCGGCTCCTAAATATACATATATAATTGGATAAGCTAAAGCACCATTAGGGCGACCACTTATACCATAACTATGAGACCCACTATTAATATATAATGTCTTAATTACATAACGCGTTATTATTAAGTCTAAGAAGGGTAGCTAATCCTAAATAGGTTAAGGTTAGTTCTTAGGTAAGACTTATAGAGGGGAGGAGAAGGGGTTCTTATTAATATAGAAGTATCTTATAAAGTATAATAAGTTAATAAGGGAGGCCTAAGTAAATCTAAATAATAGATTAAAACTTAGGTTAAATATAAGTATAAGGTCTTTATACTTATACTCCTATACTATATCCCTAAACCATACTACTAAGGTAGGGTTAGGTTACCCCTAGGGGCAAAAATAGTAGCTACCCCTAGGGGTAAAGAAGGTAGAAAGCTACCCCTAGGGGTAAAGAATAGAAGGCCTACTAGGAATACCTAGTAGGGGCTAATAAGCTTAGGTATTACTTACCCCTAGAGGTAAAGGGTCTATACTAGAAATACTAATATATAAAGTCTTAACCTATATATAAATAACCTCTTATTTTTAAAGATACTATTTAACCTAAATACTCTAACCCTAATAAAAGTAAAACTATAATAAAGTATAAAGGCATAAATATCTCTACTTAAATAGAGAAAAGGTAATATATAGCCCTTAAAGAAATTAGGGATATAGACTCTATTTATAACTAAGTTACGCTATACCTACTAGTAATAGCTAGATTCCTAATTAATATACTTACTATAGAATAGAGTATTAGTATAAATAGACCTATTAACTAAGTCTATAAGTATTACCTCTACTAGATTTTTAATAAGGTAGGTATTCTTTAGTAAAATATAAGTTACTAGCTATAGATTACTTACTCTAAGGCGTAAGTATAGTAGATACTAAACTATCTAAAAAAGGGTAACTAAATTACTATAGCTAAGAGTACTAAGGGGGGTAATTTAAAGTAGCTATTATTTAAAGGTTAGAAGGGTGTTATTAGGGAGAAGGTAGAGCTAATTATAAACTACTATTAGGTAGAAGCCTTTAAAGAGTATCTATAGCTTTATTAGTTACTAGAGAAAGAATAGTAGTAGGTATATAGTATCTATAATAAAGGTTTTAGCCCCTATATATACTAGCTAAGGTAATAAACTAACCTAGAAAATAGATATACTTCTACTATACTTATAGATCTAGCTTTATACTAATTAAGAAGATATTATCCTTCTAGATAACTATAGCTAGATATAGATTAAGCTAGTAACCTTAGTATCTAATAATAGCTAGCTATTTTAAGGTTTAAATTAGTTAGTTAAGTAGAAGATGCTAGAGAAGCTTAGACTTAGTAATTAAGTAAAATTTCTAGTATAATAGTTAGCTACGCTATAGAGAAATCTTAGCTAGAGGCTAATAATTACCTAGTAGTACTATACCTTAATTAGATAGGTAACTTTTAATATCTTTATATTTAAGTAGATAGTAAGCTATAGAATAAATAATATAAGTATAATCTATATCTATATATATACTACTTATCTAAGCTAACTAACGCCTTAGTACTAGTTCTCTATATTTAATAAGGTTATAAAAGTTACCTTAGAGATCTAAAACCTATATAGACTAGATATTTAACTAGCTAACTAGAACTAGCTAGCTAGTTTACTATAAGTATAAAGTATAGATAAAGTATAGAGCTTATTTTATTCTAGTATTAAACCTAGCGTAGAATCTTATCTATTAGATACTTACTAATAAGACTTCTTCTCTAATATAGGTAATAATATATACTTTAACCTATACTAATCTATACTTTATAAGCTAGGACGCCGCTTTATTAATATTTAGGTACTTTTAAAGACTATAAAGTAGAAAGGAAAGCTAATAAGTACTATAATATCTTATATAGGATAGTAGCTAAATAAAGAACCTAAAAAGGTCTTAGATTATAATAATAATAAGCCTACACTATATTAGAACCTAGTACCTACGCTATAGGTAAAGTATAGTAATAAGGCTAAAGATAAGTTTTAAGTCCTCTAGTAGAGAGTTCTTAACTATATATATAAAAATATAAAAGAGTTTACTAGTATTATACTAGAGCACTATCTCTATAAGTTTTTAAGTAGAAACTATAATACTTATAGTATATAATTTAAGTATAAAATATAGAGAAAGTTACTATCTATTATTACTAACTTTATAGGGCTAACTCTATAGTATAAGTATATAGCTAGCCTTATTCTAGAGGTAAATTATAAGATTAGTCTACCTATAATTACCTAGACTATGCTTAATCTTATCTATTAAATCCTAGAAGTTATAAATAATCTAGCGCTTTAGTTAAAAAGCGTAGGTAAATAGCTACTCTCTATAATATAGCTAGTAATTACTTAGTAGATCTCTAAGTAATATAATAATATACTAGATTATTATAGTAAAAATAAATAGCTATTATTTTAGGTATTAAGTGGCGATACCTTAATTTAAGGGTAGGTATTAGTAGTAATATAGAAGTGTACCCTTCTCCCCTAGGTTTTAGAAGGATTAAATATATATAGATCTATTAAGGAGCTAGCTATTATCTAATTACTAAAGTATAGGTTAAAAGTGCTATTAGGCGTAGGAATATTAATATAGATAGAGGAGCTAAGCTAAGAACTAATTAATATTATTAGGAATAGGCTAAATAATATTTATAAATAGTATTACTATAAGAGTATAGCTAGATAGTAGAGAGCTTTAGTATACTATACTTCTCTAGCTATAGACTCTTATTAGCCTATAGATTTATTAAAATCTCTTTCTTTATAAGCTTTTACTAGTTTAGGATATTAGAGGTAACTAGTATTAGTAAAACATAGGAGATAATAACTATAAATAAAGTTAAAACCTACTATAGAAGCTATAACGCTAAAGGCTAGTACCTAGCTAAAAATTATTATAGTTAGCGCTAGCGTATATATAGAATAGGTATTATATAATATAGTAGTATATCTATAGTTAATTTCTACTATACCTTACCCCTAGGGGTAAGTAGATACTATAAGATTCTACTATTAAATCCTATAGGTAACTACTTTATACTCTCTTCTTATAATATTAGTTATCTCTACTAATTCTATAATAGACCTTAATATATTTAATAAGGAACTTTTTAACTAAAGTCTACTCTATAATATAGATAACCTATAGCTAAGTTTACTACCTATTACTACTATAACGTAACTAATAAATAAGTAATAGAGTAATAGTAGCCTTAATAAGGGCTCTAGAGATAATAATAGGCTCTATAATAATACCTTAGTATATAAAATTAGGGATATATTAAATCTAGAGAGGGTAGCTAGTCCTAAATAGGTTAGGGTTAGTTCTTAGGTAAGTCTTACTAAGGGGAGGAAGAAGGGGTTCTTATTAATATAGAAGTATCTTATAAAGTATAATAAGTTAATAAGGAGGCCTAAGTAAATCTAAATAATAGATTAAAACTTAGGTTAAATATAAGTATAAAGGTTTATTCTTATATTTCTATATAGGGATCTTACTTAGTTATTTAGGAGCCCTAAATAACTAAGTAGGTTACGTAATAACTCTTAGCTACTTAGTTATTTAGGAACCCTAAGTAGCTAAGTAAGTTATATAACTACTATCTAAGTAACTTAGTATGTCTTTATCTTATTATAACCCTAGTTATTATATCTTCTACCTTTATAAGCGCCTAAACTTCCCTACTATTATCTAGTTTATAATATTATCCCTTTCCTTCTTATTCTTTACCCTAAAGAATTATACCTACTAACTATTATTCTATAAAGCGTTATTATAACCTTATTTTTACTATTAAAAACTATAGTATTATTATAGTATTAAAATATTTATTCTATTAGTTATATGCCTATATTTATAAGGTCTATATTAGTTTAGGAAAGTATAGTAAGTATTAGAAGTAAGGTTTAAAATATAATATTACTATTACTTAGAATAAGTTTTTATAGTTAGTTACTATTAAATCCGAAAAGGGTAGCTAGTCCTAATTAGGTTAAGGTTAGTTCTCGGGCAAGACTTACTAAGGGAAGGAAGAAGGGGTTCTTATTAATATAGAAGTATCTTGCAAAGTGTAATAAGTTAATAAGGGAGGCCTAAGTAAATCTAAATAATAGATTAAAACTTAGGTTAAATATAAGTATAAAGGTTTATCCTTATATTTCTATATAGAGATCTCGCTTAGTTACTTAGGAGCCCTAAATAACTAAGTAGGTTATATAATAACTCTTAGCTACTTAGTTATTTAGAAACCTTAAGTAGCTAAGTAAGTTATATAACTACTATCTAAGTAACTTAGCGTATCCTTATCTTATTATAATTCTAGTTATTATATCTTCTACCTTTATAAGCGCCTAAACTTCCCTACTATTATCTAGTTTATAATATTATCCCTTCCCTTCTTATTCTTTGCCCTAAAGAATTATACCTACTAACTATTATTCTATAAAGCGTTATTACAACCTTATTTTTACTATTAAAAACTATAGCATTATTATAGTATTAAAATATTCGTTCTATTAGTTATATACCTATGTTTATAAGGTCTATATTAGTTTAGGAAAGTGTAGTAAGTATTAGAAGTAAGGTTTAAAATATAATATTACTATTACTTAGAATAAGTTCTTATAGTTAGTTACTAAGAAGAAGAAGTTAGAAGCGTAATTAGATAAAGTATAAAAGGAGTAGAATACTACTTTTAAAGCTATATATATAGCTTAAGCAAAAGAGGATTAGTTAAAGAAGTAGTTATTATAGAATAAGAAATATACTAGTAAAGTTATTATAGTAGAAAGTATAGTATTAGTAAAGTTAGATAAAGATCCTATTTAGCCTATTTAGCCTATTAGTCCTATAGAGCTTTGTCCCTCTATCTAGTTAGTAATAGATAATCTTCCTTCTAATTTCTAGGAAAATATTCCTTCTATATCTAGTAGCTAGGTACGTCCTTACCC